TAATTAAATAAGAGCGAAGGAACCTTTTAGAACTACATATATATACATATACAATATTTGCAGTGAATCTTGAACTTATCTTGTCCGAATATTTTAATTAGTCTTTTTAATTGCTATATTTCATTCCCTCCCAATGGTTTACCTCCTCACCGTGTCTGGGAGATGCTCCTGGTGTGCGATGTACACCGGGGAATTCATGCCCATGGCAGAGTCTCCCAAGCCGAGAAGGGAGCCTGCGTCTCCATCTGGAAGCCTAACTAAGAGTAAACCAATACCAGGCTCCGCCACCGTCTTGTTGTCAAATTAGTCACGTAGTGGCAAATCTCCCTTTAATCCACAAGAGCGGCGACAGCCTGTGGCGGTGACCACTTGAGGCTAAGTTTGGTTTGGCTGACCTCGGGACTTCAAGGAGCCAGAATGGCTAAACAAGCAAAACTCCGAAACAATGGAGGTTACGTGGGGTCCGCACAACCATTGAGAACGGGCCATCTAAGTATCCAAGTAAGTATGTTTCATATCGCTTCCTTATAATTATTAGTGAATTCAGAACATAAAAAGTTTGGTGTTCCAATGATTTCAAGGTTTCATAAATTTTACCAAATTTCGCTTTTACCTCGTTGTTTTTTTTGAATGTTACCCAAATCCGACCTGCTGTTCAGATTGTTATTGAAGGCAGTTTTTACCACGTTGTTATAAAAGTTGTTCAATGCTAATACGATTCACCTCCATTTGCTGTAAATAATTTCAGCATTTTTATCGCTCTATTTCTTAAATGGAAATCTTTCATACGTGATCTATTACTGCTATTTCTTATTGGTACATCAATGCTGCATACTAAAAGAATTCCATCAGTCCTATATGCGATCACATTCCACAGCACTTGCTTGTTGACGATAACAGTTGCCTTTCCAGCAACTGATCTCTGGAACCTGTGTTGGAGCAAATTTTTCCACTGGTTAGTAAAGAGATAATCAGATTATGCTTTCTGCACTGTAAATACACTGGTTTGAGATGCAGATTCAGGCAATCCTTCAGCCCATCCAGTTTCAAATGATTTATGGCCTGCACAGGAGGCGCAAGTGAATCTGAGTTTTCTATCAGGCTCCTTAATTAGTGTTCAGATTAAACCACTATTAAGTGCACCGGAAAATTTAAATGTAGAATACCAGTATAGAAGCTTCAACGCTTTCCTAACACGATCAAACATTGCACATTTTTCTGTTAGTATGGAAAATAAAAGTGATGTAGTAGTGCTCCATAAAATTTTGTAAAATTTTAAAGGTCTTTAGAATAAAATTTTGCTCCTTATCTTAAACATAAGTCGGCTGCTCAGGACTCTTGGAATATATCTACTTACAGGCTGAGATTGACCTGTGCATTGATGAAGGCATGTTTGTGGGCAATTGCATTGTCCACTTCTGCAGTTTTCCCGGCAAAACTGTTGGCAAGCTTGGCAATGAGAGCCGCGAGATGCCTGAACAGATGATACTTAGCTGAAGGTGTTTGGATTTGATCATATCGTTATGCACTTACTTAATTGAAGAACGCAGCCCTTGTTTCCCTCAAGATTAAACCTTACCTACTGGAAAGCGGAAGTTTGAGAGAAGATTTTAGCCGAGTTGACTTTATAAATCAGTACTCTGAATGCTAGATATTGCATAATTCTTTCTACTTCTGCTCAGCAAACACGAGCTGTTACTTAATTTCTTTATTTACGTACAAGCTGACGTTTCGGCGGATTTCGTCTTCTTCAGAGCCTGTAAAGGTCAAGTTGACTACAATCTACACGTCCAAACACCTCCATAACCAAACAGAGAAAATGCTGAACCAAAAAACAAAACCAAAAAATTAATGGAAAGCCGGACCTGGGGCTAGATATTGCAACGGGAAACGATTTTCGACGTTTAAAGAGTTTTAGTCAAATCAGGATGATTCTGCGGCAAGGCTGGGGTATAATTTTCAGTGAGGAGGAGTAATTTTTGAACATAGTTTTTTGGAATAACTGTTGTGTTCCTCACGCATTCCGCTGCTTGTTGACCTAGCTTGAAGAAGGCTGAATTCCTCAACTTACTATTACGTTCTCAATAGGTACGTCATGATTACTAGCACAAATCAGTTTACCGAAATTTGGGTTTGATTGCTGGTTAGCCTGACCTGTTGTAAACAATATGGCTCACATGCTTGCTGGCAGTTACAAGTGTTCGGTGCACAACTCGATTGGCATGATTGATGACAGGCTACGCAATGGTTGGCCTTTAAAAATAGTTACGAATTGAAGCAAGTTTTCTTCCGTCTTTTTTTAAAGAACTCTATTTATTAACACGGTGACTGTAGAAGTCAATTCCTTTTATGTTTTCTAATATATCTAAAAGACGTGAAAGAAGAAAATATCATGCCGAATTTCGTTTAATATTTTACCCGTGACGGTGCCAACTGAGACAACAGAAGAATCCTGAAGAAAACATGTAGAGTATCCGGTCCCATTGTGTCTGCAAGTTTAAGCTTTAATTACAATGATATCTCGTCTGCATTCTAGCAGGGAGAAATCTTGCTCTAAATTAACCAGTAACAAAAAGAAGAGCGATGCAATAAATTCTGCTAAGAACAAATTTTGTGTTCAGGTTTCTGTGAATCTATGACGCATTCGAAGACGTGGCGAATTCAAATTTTAGGAAACAACACAAAAGACGATCGCATTCATACAACACTGATAGGCGTCGTGCTGTTTTGCCTTTATAGCATGACCGACATTACTCACGAGGTTTATTACAATAGCAGTTTTGCCGTTACCACAGTAGCTCCCGTCTTCGTATGAGTAATGCAACTACAAGAACACTTTTAGAACTTGTAAAGCGGATGTACATAGCGCTTACACAATTGCCATTAAATTATTAGAACTAGTTAGAAGCAGCTTGTTTCTATCACTTTCTACGAAACTCTTGAATTAGCTCTCTTTGATAAGATACAAGCGATGCAAAGACAAGCGTTTATTTCAACTCCTTGGGAAACCAAGGCGTAAAGGTTTTTCACCTCGCTATTCGAAATATTAGTTGACGATCGTCGTTTCTAATTCAAGATTTCAATGACAAGATTTTAAACTGATTACACTCCTCAGTTAACAACACGGAGCTCTCCTTCCTGTGTGAAGTAAAGCAACAGTCTAAGTATTGAGAAACAATAATAATCGCAAAATTTCGGCCACCACACCATGTGGCTCCTTCGTTTCTGCGATTCGGAGTTTTACAAATATCTCAGCATCATTGTGGTGTGTCACACGTATTGCCCTGCCATAAAAATTGTAATAAGCAGTAAATAAAAAGTTAACACTGAACTACTTGCCTTCATGTACGTAATTAATATCGGTCCATGCCTTGCTTCTACAACACCGAAGCAGCCGTTTCACGTTGGCCTCCATGCGTTTTTTAACAAAGGTCACGTAGGATTTCTTGCCAGAACACTGGACGCCATTTAGGAAAAGCACCTTCTTACTATTGTACCTCTGAAAAGCGTTGTATTTATGTCATGTCGTAACCAGTTTTCTGTAAAAGATTCCTCTTCATACATTTTCCTGAAGATGAAGTTATAATCACAGTTATTGTGCAGAACTAAGACCACAGAGCAGTGCTCTTCAGACTTTGAAGTAACATTCACAAGTGTTGAGCGAAATCCATGCAGCATTACACTGATTCTGAAAAGAAATGACAGAGATACAGATAAATAGAAAATCTTGGGTACGATTGTTCTGTCAAATAAGTGTGTCAGTAAAATTTTTCTGTACACCTATTCAATACGCTTTGGAAGCTCTCCATGAAGACCGTATCGAAAAACTTTGACATAATGAGAGGCCCTACTTTCCTTTCTTATCCATTATTATTGAAGTTTATCACTGTTAAAAGATAAAGAATACGACGTCCAGCGTTGATCAACGCCTTAACGATACGGGAAGCATTCGACTTCATAAGACATCTTTAAAGGTGATTGAATGCATATCTGAGCTATGCAACGACTCGCAGTGGTCTAGAGATATGCCAAGCTAGTGCTGCTATCCTTGAAGACACGTTTGATACCAAACAGTTGATCCCAGGGGGATGGAACGCTTGGTGAACCCGGAGCGCAGGATCGAACCAAAAGCATGTCTGAATTTCAGGGCACTTCAAACTATTGAGCCACATGCGCATCTTTGCCATTGATATAATAAAAAACAGTATGAAAAACAAGATTTACATATTTAACATAGCACGCCTTGCCTTTAGCATATTATTAAAAGGTTTTACTGCCGTCCAGCGCAAGTGCGGCTAGATTTCCAAGTGTTCTTAGCTGATTTCACTGAGCAAATGGTAAAAATTAGAAGACTTTTAGGTTTCTCCTTTAAAAATCCACAGGCGAAAATACTCGCTAGATCTGGTACTACGGTCATTAGTCGTTGGCACTATGTCCCGGCAAATTCAATTGAATGTCGTAAATTGTTGTCAAAGACCATCGTTCTGAGGAAATCACTTGTTATAGTGTGTTTCGTTAATAGAGTAACAATATTTTTTTGACCCCATTGAATCAAAGTTTCACGTCACCAGGTAAGTGATTGATTCCCTTGTTTCATATCCGAGCAGCTGTTCTTGGCTGACTACATTCCTCGTTCATTGTTAAATTATGATGCTGACTGTTCTCCTACTAACTTTAAATCTGAATAGAGGTCTCTCTACTCATGGAGTCACCTTGAGATTTAACATTCATTCTACTAAATTGCAATTTCGAGAAAGGATTCCATTTGTTCTTGATGTTGTCGATAAAGAACCTAACATGCTTCGACGCAGCGTTGGAGGTGCTGCTCTAAGATATAATGGTTCTTTCCATGGATTTGCGATCTGGAAGAGTAAGAAAGATGATTTAGCCTTATTACGACTACAGGAGCTAGAAATTGATCAGAGTATGTACTTTAGTGATTTGCCATCTTTAGTACTTTTCTTGTTTGAACTTGTCATTTAGACATCGTTGCCATTTCTATGAGGAACTCGCACAATAGTCAAATGAAACTAGCCACGGAGCAGTATCGAATCACAGTTTTCAAGCAATCGCTGAAGGAAGGTATGTAGAAAACTTATTGTCTTTTAATAATAGCAATTATTGGAGCTACTACCTTGGAAATGTTCAGAACGTTAATCATTCTCCCCGGCACTGCATTAGTTATCTTGTTTTGCGCTGTAAATTTTGGGTGGTCTATTTTTTTCTAACACGGTAGCATTTGTTATTTACAAGTAATCCTATCACGTATGAATGTTTTATCTTTAGAAAAGAAGCCTTTTGTGAAATAAGAAAAAAGAGAATGATTGATTTATGATGACATAGTTGACTTGAGCAGGACTTGAGTCTGCGCGTACTTGACAAACGACCAATTGAGCAACACCAAATCGAATTTCATGGCAAAACATGAGAAAATAAAAGCTTCTTTAGTGGATGATATTCCAAGAAATGATGCTGGATGCATGTGCGTCAAGAGACAGTGTGCGTGCTGTGTATCCCTCCATATTCCTGAATTCGAACATCGCTGTAAGGCATTTGATTTCTGGTTATTTTTCGCTCGAATTAAACTTATTGGATAAGTTGGTAAAAACAGTTTCCTTATGAATTTTCTTTTTTAAAGGACATTTATGGGGTTCAAAGAGTGTTTCTTTTACATGCGAAAACCTTGAGTGGCGTTTTCAGTATGCGTTAATGCCACATATAATCCACAAACGATAGGGTTGGATTTATCGATTGGTGTTGATGGTCACTATATTACTCAGGAGATTTCCGGTTGGATTAATTTAACTTTTATCTTTCTTGCCCTCTAGGACTCCTATTGCTGTTTTAGTTCGCAATCCACCTCCGATTTGCTTCGCCATTCCCTACATGCACGAAATCGTCGGGGTTTGTCTGGCATTTACTAAGGTATGTAAAGTTCATGTTTTTTTCAACTTTATAAATATTACGTACACATCCTTTCTGCAAGATTTGCATAGGATCGAAAGCGCTGGTTTTAAATAAGAAACTAAGTAGAATAAGATGGAAATGTGTTGTTCACTGGTGTTTCCTTCTACTTATTTATCTTGCAGAAGATCCAAATGCTAGGTCAATTGGCGCGACGAAATCTATCTTTTCACATAGTGGAAGGTTTTTCTTTTTAGCTGGATATCTCGAAAGCTAAACACAATCTATCAGGGTGTGTCGAACTGGAAGCAGAATTTCTTCATATGCGATTATGTCGAGTTAACCTTGGATGTTTTGTTATGCCAATTTGAAAAAAGGCAATAAATCTTTTGTTGGTATATGCATTTTCCCATTCTTCATCTTACTATGTGTATCCATTCGATAGCCGACTACCAGCAGTTCGGGATTTCTGTTTATTTTTTCAATTCGATTTTATTCGACCCGTCCTTACGTCGTGTGCGGATCCCAGTACTTCAAACATCCAATTCATTTCTTCGTATCCATTTTCTACGAAGACCTTTCAACTCTACGTGTGACTTCGGTTGCTGCTTGAGGATTTCCACTTCATCTTGAATGTCGTTGTATGCTGGTCGAGCAATTTTCCCTGGAGTACTGGGAGAGCTGGGCTGAAGCGTTCCCAATTCGATTGCAGAGAGGGTTTTTTTTCCAGAGAAGTCCGGTACCAATACCGACCAGGAGAGATGAGAAACTTGGTTGACCCATGGCGGAATGGAACTAGCACCGTGCTCGTGATGGCGGGCATCACTACCACTGTGCTATCCGCCTCCTATACGCTACGCCGCACCTTGGGACAGGATGAAGAGAGCCAGAAAAGGCATTCTCCCCGCTTAATATTTTGCAAAATGCTCGCTATCGAAAGAGTTCATTTTTTGGTGAGGTACCTTAAAATATGACACTTCAAAAAATCTCCTGCATATAAAGAACAGAGCCATCGAAAGAGCTTTATGCACGCTGTTTAGTTGTAAATGTGTAGTTTACGTTAATCAAATTAAAATGTTGTCTAAGATGCTCTGGATATCATCACTATAGTTGGCCGTCGATGTGATTTATCGCAGTGCATGTTTGAAAACAGCCGTCGGTCTTCATTCTCACTATTTTTTTCCGATGATTTTGAAAATACTGCCCAAAAAGTTTATTTAATCACCTAAAATTTCATAATTTATCAAGTTACTCTTTAATAAATGAGTGCGTGTAGCGCAGCGGTCGGAGGCGCTCTGCAACACAAACGTGGAATCGATCCTCGCGCTCATGGCCCACTAAGCATTCCTCACTTCGGGTTCGGCAAGTTGCTACCAGATTTATCTCGGGAGACAGCAGCACTGACTGGATACATCGCTATGCCAACGCAGGTCATTGTAAAGGCCAGGTATGCATTTAATCACCTCCGACGATGCTAAGTTAAGTTAGTGCATGGCGCATCCCTCAGGAATTGACCAACACCGAGAGCCTTATACTTTACCCATTACTCTTTAATAAAACCGGAAAATTGATCATGCCGAGTGAGATCGGACCATACCATTGGTATGGGAAGAAACGCCATAATTTTCAATCAAATGCAGGTTTGCTAATGCGAGCACGGCATGGTTTAGTCGTCAGTTTTCTATGAAACGAGCGAGGAATATTGATATATTTTTTTATGGTGATTTGTTGAGGAAGAAGTTTAAAACTTTCTTCATTGATATCAATGTCTTGTAACAAAAGAAGTGGTTTGTTTGCGCAGTAAGCTGGTCTTGAGCAGCTGGTGTATTCTTTGTGAAACTGCGGTACTAAAGCGTTTCTAGGTGATTAACACAAGTAGTAGCTGCCTCCTACGAATCAGTTTTCCTCCGGGTAACTACAAGAGCATTTAGCAGATTAGCCAGTGCATGCATTATCTTCATATCGATACATCTCATCCGCCAACTCTACTCTCAGGATGGACGGATGCGTTGAGTACGGTGTCTTCATGACTTTCTGTATTAGTGAGCAAAAAAATTTTCATGTGACGACTCATTCAAAAGAAAAGCATTCATTCATATCGCATCCTCTACGCACGATTTCTTTTCCTACACGGATCTTATTCACAAAGGAATCTCTTGCCGGATAGCCGCCAGCAACCTGGTGTGTCTAGGTGGCGGACAGGGGGATAATCGCGAACAAAAAGCGACCTTCGCCTTCCTGAGACGCAGATGGATACAAGGGATGGACTCCCTGTTCTGTTGCGCCGATTCGGCACCTGTATTTACGAAGTGTATTCATGAATGCATGCATAGGTTTATTCTCACTTATGCAGATTGCACTCTACGAGTCAATTCAACCAAAACCCTGCAATCAAGTAACAGGGAGGTACATGGAGGGTGGTTTGGAATCGCTTCAAACAAATGAGCTCCATGTACACTCTGGAAGAGACCGGCAAGCCACCCGTGAGTATGCTCAGCTACCACATTCAGAGCTTAGCAAGCTCATACATATACATGAGTATCAAAGTGCTAAACACAGTAAAGTAAATGGGTCTCACTCCTCTGACCACGAAAGAGCCCTCGATTGGGTTGCGTTGGGTAGGGCGACTACGGAGACACTGCTAAAATCTCAGGCTCTCTATAAACAGCCTAAATCGCAAAGAACTAAAGTGACGATCTATACCTACAGTGCACGCACAGTTGCATCTGAGCCTTCGATAGAAAACTTGATCATGCAAGCAGGAATGATAAGGTTCCACGTCATCGGATTGGCCGAGACAAAGCAACGGCACCCATTCAGCGCCGTCTATGACACCGAAGAAGAACTCTTCCTCGGAAGATGCGACAGTAGAGGAGTGGACAGCGTCGGTGTTCTCGTAAACACGAGTTTGTCCATAAACATCGATTTATTCGAGCAACTAAGAGCCCGAATCGGAGGTTTACGATTAAAGAGATATGGATCAATCCAGCTTTGACAATATCCGTCGTTTACGCGCCCAAATCAAGCTATGACGAAGAAGAAGCGGAAGCGTTCTATATGAACTTGGAGAAGTTCTACAGAGAAGACCATTCGTTCTTCAAGATCATCATTGGAGATTTTAACGCAAAGTATAACTCATATGAAATTCTGAGATATTTGCAAAGCTCCGGACCGTAGGTGTATGCAATGGGGAACGAACACGCGCTGTTGTCCTTACCGAGGAGCAGCGCACTTCACCACCACACCATCCCGGTCCTTCGTCTTGCATGTCTCTCGGCTGGCAAGAAGATCGATAGAACTAGCTGAGAGACAGGCAAGACGAAGGACCGGGATGGTGTGGTGGTGAAGTGCGCTGCTCCTCGGTAAGGACAACAGCGCGTGCTCGTTCCCCATTGCATACACCTACGGTCCGGAGCTTTGCAAATATCTCAGCATTTCATACGAGTTATATTTCGCAACATACCTTGCTATTAAGAAGAAAAAGGCAGTAAATAAAAGGGTTAAGATTTTAACGCGAAGATTGGACCAAGAAGAACGTCTGAAGAACGCCACATTGAGACCTACGGATTAGAATGAAACGAACAGGGTGAGCAGCTATTTGAGCTTACCATGGCGACCAAGACAATCCATGGTAACTCGCAATTCCAGAAGCCCTACCCTCAGCGCTGGACGTGGGAGTCTGCCAGTGGAGAGTACCATAACGAAATAGACCACATCATAGTAAATAAATAAAAAGTAAATGGAAGGTTTTGCCTAACAGATGTCGTTGTTTTTCCAAAATTCTACAACGGATCAGACCACCGCTTCGTTCGTGCAAGATTTCATTTGTCGCGGAAAGGAGGAAATCACTAGTAGTAGGCTGTCGGAAAGATGCTGTTCTCGATAACATCGGCGAGGAATACGGTTGAGTCCTCCTAAATCTTTGCGTCAGCGCTATGAATGCTGAGAGTTTAAAGTCACAAAGAGAGTTCTGTCTTCAAGAACACTCCAGCTGACGTCACCGTGGATTCGCTCGAGCTGAAGGCAATTGCCAACTCATGTCCGAACTGATAAAACAATTGAGACAGACAACAGAATATGATCTTAAAAAGAAAAGAGCAGCAGTTATAGCCGAAGCTGCAGAGGCTGGGAGAAGTCTTCACAAAGCCCACCAAAGTTTGGCCAATTACAAAACGACGATGATTGCACTCCGACGCCCAGACGGAGCAATTACAGCTTTCGGAAAGGCAATCGAGAAAATCATTCACCAATACTACTCTGATCTCTTCAATAAGCACGTCATCATAGCTTCATATAAAGTAAAAGAGGATGGATATGTCGCCCATCGGCTCCCTTCCGAAATCCGACATGCCATTTCGTCGGTGAAAAATCCAAGAGAGCCAAGCCCGGACAGGATAAGATCTGAACACTTTAAGAACCTTCTGCCTATCCTCGTAAACACATTAGCTCGGCTCCTCACACGTTACCTGTCTGAATGCAAGGCCCCTAGTCAATGGAAGATAAGCAAGACCGTGGTGTTGTTCAAGAAGGGTGGCCTCCATTATATCGGCAACTATCGCCCAATCTGCTCGCACACTTTTCTCTAGAGTCATGGTTTCGAAAAGGATTTTTAGTACGATGGATTGCTTCCACACGATAACAAGGCTCAGTGAAGTATCGCAAGAGTACAAAGGACCACTCTGTCTCACTTTCACCGATTTAAAAAAGGCCTTTGACTCAAATGAGATAAGTGCTGTCATGGGAGCCCTTGATATTCAGGGCGTCCCTACTCAGTATCTAAAGAATCTTCGTGTGCTACACAAAGAATGCGCAAGCAATATGTCACTATACTTACTTACTTGATACTTGAACGGCCCGTCCTCACTAGTTGTGCGGGTCCCAGCATAATCAACATTTTTGGAGATTTGCTGGTTAAGCCACTGTACTTTCCAGGAATGCCGAGGACAGCCTAGCCAAAGTCTGTAACAGGTCGTCACCACGACAGGAAGTCGCAGACCATGTGGATCAGAGGGAGGTATGCCATCATGCGCCTCTGATACCAGGACGGTGCTAGATTCTGGTTTTGGTTTACTCTTGGCTAGGCTTCCTGATGGAAACGCCGGACTCTCTCTCAGCTTGGGAGACCCAGCCAGGGCGATAAATCTCCCCACTGTACATCGCAGTCCGACACCCAGGAAATCCTCCGAATCATGATGAGGTGGCAAACCGTTGGGAGTAGATATCACTATTCAAGAACGATATTAACATCGACGTCAAAAGAGGGGTTAGGCAAACATCTCGTCAAAATTATTTAGCGCCATCCTCGTTACGCCTCGGCCTCAGAGCCTCGGAGTGGGTTCATTACCTATACCCTATTCTCGTTCAACGAAAA